GTTGTCTCTGTCTCCTTCTGTCTCTCTCTCTCTGTCTCTCTCTCTCTCTCTCTCTCTGTCTCTGTCTCTCTCTCTGTCTCTCTCTGTCTCTCTCTCTCTGTGTGTCTCTCTCCCTCTCTCTGTGTCTCTCTCTGTCTCTCTCTCTCTCTCTGTCTCTCTGTCTCTCTGTCTCGGGCCTCTGCTTTGTGGACTCTTCCAGTTGTACGTCATGCCTACATTCTCTTCCTCTCCTCTGTCCTATTTGGAGACCTTTTGACTGTAATCAGTTGTCTTTCTTAAACCATCGTATACGAGATGTGTATAATATGACACTTCTTCCTGTTTCTTATGACTACTGCCCACGTTACAGTTTCATATGTGCAGATCGATCAAGGTGGGCAGCCGTGCCGGTCTGAAGCGGTAGAACAAGATTAGAGTCCAGTCAGGCACCTTTAGGACCACCAAAGTTTTATTCAAGGTGTGAGCTGTCGTGTGCAAGGTGCACTTTCTCAGACAATGAACTGGGGGTGCAACATGGAGTTAACGCCATGTTTTAGTGAGGCAGCATGTTACTTTAACAAAAAATCTCAGCTTCCTACTCTTAACAATTAAGAATATAATTGAAGGTGTTATGTAATTTGGGATGGTAGATTTAAATGTAAATCCTCTGTTCTGGGGACAAGGAAAATACTCTGCACAGCCATGCTGGAAAGGAGACAGGTGGGATTTCAGGACTGGATTCTCACAATTTAGGGCACATCAGTCTCCAGTTCTGACATATTTATTACCTATGTTGTTGCCCCCCCCCAATCCAAACAGATGATAACCAAAAACCAAGCTTGTCGTTCTTTTGATCTGTTTAAAAACGCCTCCACTGTTTTCCATGCTAATTTAACAAGCCACCCTCTGTATATACAGCTGTGACCTGTAATTCCGTTTCAATGTGTCTGAGGAAGTGCGTCCTGCACAGGAAAGCTCACACCTTGAATAAAAGTTTGCTGGTCTTAAAGGTGCCCCCGCTGGACTCGTAACTTTGTTTTCTGGTGGCAGGGTCCTCATTCAAAGAGGCTCTTCAGGAGGCGAGTTCAACATGGGCCACCACCATCGGATTACTGAGCTGTCTTCCAGGGCTTCCATTCTGACGGGCAGTGGCTGTCTGAGGCCCTGGCACAGGGGCGGGTCGAGGGAGATTCCAAGCTTGGGCAGAGTGGCTGGAGACGTTTGACCCACCTCAGCATTGACTTATGACTTACAGAGCATCGTCTTGGCGCGCGGAAGGTCCCCCCCAGTTCAATCGCCAGCAACTCCAGCTGGAAGGATCAGGTAGTGGGTGATGTGAATGGCCTCTGCGTGAGACCCTGGAGAGCGGTTGCCGGCCTGAGTTGGCAATACTGACCTTGGTGGCCCGAGGGTTTGATTTAAGAGAAGGCAGGTTCATGTGTTCACGTGAGTTCATTCCCCTAGGTAGGGGAACCTCCCAAGGCGTCTTGCAGCATCAAATGTTAAAAGTGCTTGAAGTCTTTGCTTTTAAAAGGATAGGTCCAAGGTGGTCAGCTGCGTTGGCCTGAAGCGGTAGAACAAATTTAGAGTCCAGTCAGGCACCTTGAAGACCAACAAAGGTTTTTTTCAAGGTGCCTGACCGGACTCTAAATTTGTTCTTTTTTTTAAAAAAGGATGTATATGTGTGTGCGTGCACACTTTAGCCAGTTTGGTGTCGTGGTTAAGTGCGCGGACTCTAATCTGGGAGAACCAGGTTTGATTCCCCACTCCTCCACTTGCACCTGGCTGGTGTGACCTTGGGCAAGCCATAGTTCTGGCACAGCTATCCTTGAAAAAGGGCCGTTTCTGTCAAGGGCTCTCTCAGCCCCGCCTCCCTCACAGGGTGTCCGTTGTGGGGAGGGGAAGGGAAAGGAGCTTGTAAGCCGCTCTGAGGCTCCCTTGGGTAGTGAAGGGCGGGGGATAAACCCAATCTTTTTTTCTTCTTCTTCTTCTCTAATCTGGGAGAACCAGGTTTGATTCCCCACTCCTCCACTTGCACCTGGCTGGTGTGACCTTGGGCAAGCCGTAGTTCTGACCAGAGCTGTCCTTGAAAAAAGAGCAGTTTCTGTCAGAGCTCTCTCAGCCCCACCTCCCTCACAGGGGGTGTCTGTTGTGGGGAGGGGAAGGGAAAGGAGTTTGTCAGCCACTCTGAGGCACCTTTGGGTAGTGAAGGGCGGGGGTTAAATCCAATCTCTTCTCTTCTTCTCTTCTGTGTTCCACCATTTCTGTATGTCCGTGTGCGTATATATGTGTTTGTCGCAGTCCAACATCCTTGGACCCCCCCTCCGGGCCAAGGAGGCATTCTCCACCTTTGTTCCTTCCTGTTCTTTACTCTGCCGGCACCTACATCAGCCTCGAATCCAAGGCCTAAACAAATGGCCACTGCAGATGGCTGTGGTTGGCCAGTCCTTACTCAAACCCTGGGGCTACGGGGGGGGGGGGCGCCTGCTTTCCTCTCTTGTGTCTCCGCCGGGCCCACCCCTCCACCTGTCCCTCACATACTTCTGATCTCGCTGGCGTCCTGCTGTCTAACAGCTTGCAGATGACGGTGCTAAACTTATTTCCCTGACCTCTCCCATTGGAGCCAGCGGCCGGTCATCAGGTTTCATTTGGGAACTGCATGGGTCTTGCATGCCCAGTGGCCTGCTGTGAAAGGAATTCCTCTGTTCAGAAAGGAGCCTGAGTGAGTGTCCGTGTGCACGGAGCATCTGTCTCTCTCTCTCTCTCTCTCTCTGTGTCCTTCTCTGGACATCCAAAATAGCTCACTCCCGCGACGGAGCGTGTCTCGCACAATGACTCAGTTCCGATGGCACGTCTTCTGGCCGAGGTCCAGCATGGAGGAATTTCATCACCCTGTCCTCTTCTGTGTACTAACTGCAAGGAGCCAGAGGGCCCCGGGTCCCAGCAACTCCTGAAGCTTGCGCGTTACGCTAAACACGCCTCTGCTCTGTCCCCGTTTCACAGCACGGCAGGAGTCCCGGGCGCATCAGGCAATAACGGCAGGCACCTCTTCTCTGTTTCAGGATCCCTGCCCTGCGCTGGACGAAGCCCCCAAGCTCAGCAGCGGCACGGGAGTCGGCGGCTCCTTCGCATCGAGCGGCAGGACCCCCTCCGCTTACCCCTCCACCACCACCGTCAATCCCACCATTGTTCTTCTGCAGCACAACAGAGGTAAAGAGTGAGACCTACGGGGGGCGCTGTCTCCCCTCGCCCGCTTTAACGGGGATGGCCTTCCCCTCCAGGCCTTGAGGTCGCCCGCGGCGTCCCAGAGGGGCCCCACCGTGACCCGTGGCACATCCTTTGACTCAAGACAGCGATGGATCGGGGGGGGGTGTGTTTCTGTGAGATCTGTGACATGGCAGAGAATCATAGAGAGTTGGAAGGGATCTCCAGGGTCATCTAGTCCATCCCCTTGCACAGTGCAGGAAATGCATAAATACCCCCCCACGCCCCTAGAGTGACCCCCTGCTCCACGCCCAGAAGATGACAAAAAGCCCTCCAGGCCCATAAACAATATGGCAGCATAGCTGACCAGTGTTCCCTCTAAGCTGAGTTAGTGTGAGCTAGCTCACAGTTCTTTAGCCTCTGGCTCACACATTTTTGCCTTCACTCAGGAAGAATGGGGCTCCAGAGCAGACTAATCTATGCAGTAACCAAATCGCTCGCTCACAACTTTAATGCCAGTAGCTCACAAAATAGAATTTTTGCTCACAAGACTCCACAGCTTAGAGGGAACATTGGCTGACACCCTGGCCAAACCGGCCTGGAGAAAAATGGCTTCCTGGCCCCGGGTCTCTGGGAAAGCCTCGGCCTTCCTCTCTTTTTTATAGAGTTAACTTCATTTGTGGCCTTCCATTCTCCCCAGTGAGGACCCAAAGTGCCTGACATCCTCCTCCTACATTTTATCCCAGAACAACCCCGTGAGGGGCAGGTGAGGCTGGAAGTGCGTGACCGGCCGAGGGTCACTCAGAAAACCTCCAGGGCAGAGAGGGGGCTTCGAACCCCTTTGAACTGCGGGAGTGCATCGCCCGTTAAAACCTAAAACCCAGTTTTTATTTATAAGGTAACGTGTTCCTGAACACCCGTTTTCATCTCTTCAGCCAACTCCCCATGAGAACACTCAAGAGCGGCCATGTTTTACAAACAGCTCGTTTCATATTTGGATAGGAATAAAATCCTGCAGGATAGGCACGTCCGAAAAGGACAGGGCTTGAAGCTTGCTCACGACCAGGGCTATTTTTGGGCAGGAACGCACAGGAACGGAGTTCCGGCTGGCTCCCGAGTTGGCCACGCCCCGCAGGGACTTATTAGCATAATAGGCCACGCCCAACAGCAGACACTCATTAGGATTGGCTACATTAGGGGGGTGTGGCCTAACATGCAAAGGAGTTCCTGCTACAAAAAAAGGCCCTGGGTTTTGACCACAAACAAGGTCAACAGAATAAGAAGCCAAAGGTGGGTGTGGCTGGATGACCACACCTCTGGTAACATGGGGGTGTGGCCTAATGTGCTAATGAGTTCCTGCTGGGCTTTTTCTCCAAAAAAAGCCCTGCTCACGACACATTCAGAGTGAATCGCAGCCAGGGATCCAGAAGGTGCCACAGGCCCCCAGAACCCGAAAGCTCGTGTTCTGAACCTCTGTGTGGCAGTTTCCCTAACATGGCTGAACTGGCTTTGCTTCTGATCGGGAAAGATGGGCAGGACTTGCTCTGTTGTGGGGAGTGTATGGGAGGGAGGTGATGAGGGGCCCTGGGCGAGAGGAGAGGCGGATGCGGGCACTTCAAGCACTCGACGGGCTGTCAGAGAGAGGATGGAGTTGTGTTCTGTTGCCCCAGAAGGTCAGACCAGAACCAACGGGCTTGAAACTAAATCAGAAGAGTCTTCGGCTAAACATGAGGAATAGCTTCCTGACCGTTGGAGCGGTTCCTCCGTGGAACAGGCTTCCTCGGAAGGCAGTGGGCTCTCCTTCTTTGGTGGTTTTCAAGCAGAGGCTGGATGGCCCCATCTGACAGCAATGTGGATTCTCTGAACTTAGGCAGATCACGCTTAGTTCTCGTGGCCCTTTCTTACGTGCCCAGGGAAACGCCGATCGCCACTTTGGGGTCAGGAAGCCATTTTTCTCCAGGCCAGTTTGGCCAGGAATCCTGGAGGGTTTTTATTTTATCTCTTTGCCCTCTTCTGGGCATGGAGCAGGGGTCACTGGGGGTGTGTGTGGGGGAGATATTTGTGCACTTCCTGCACTGTGCAGCAGGGGGTTGGACTAGATGACCCCGGAGGCTCCTCCCAACTCTATGAGTCTGTGATTCCCCCGCCCAGAGGAAATGGCTGTGTTGTCTGTGTGTGCGGAGGAAGAGGGAAGGTGTCCCAGTTTGTGGCGATGGGGTGTGTGTGTGATTCCCTTCCCTCCTTCTCGTTCTCATTTATAGTCTATAGCAGGAGCTCCTTCCCCGCCCCCGGCCATGTTCCCAGATGGATGAGGGAGGCCTGGCCTTGGGGGCCTTGCTTGCTGGTGCCGGAGAACCTTCCTCCTAGCCTGCCTCAGTCTCAGCATATAGCACTCTCCCCTCCTGCCTTTTATCCTCACAACAACAGCCCCCGTGAGGTAGATCAGGCTAAGAACTGCCCAGTTTGGTGTCGTGGTTCAGTGCGCGGACTCTAATCTGGGAGAACCGGGTTCGATTCCCCACTCCTCCACTCGCAGCTGCTGGTGTGACCTTGGGTCAGTCACAAGTTCTCTCAGAGCTGTTCTCTCAAGGGCAGTTCTCAAGAGAGCTCTCTC